AAACCCCCCCCCCCCCCCTGTTTGGAAACGCCTATTACCTTAACCCTAAACCCGGATACGACTAACACTAACCCACCTCCGTGACTCCGTCTACTAACCCCCTAACATTACGCATACTTCCTCCCTTCCCCACCACACGTCCCCTACGTTCAATTTCCAGCCCGAAAGATCCATTTTTGAAGGGCTTTTTCATTTTCGTATTTTGCTAAACTTACCCTTCCCCAACTCACCCTCTCACACGTGGATTCACCATCCGTCTCCTGTTGTTGGATCACTGTCACCGCCATGTCACTTTATCACCCGAATAAATTTTTAATTTTTTTAATAAGAGCTGAGGCCTTCCCGATTCTGTTTGTCGTTACAACAAACAGGCAGTTTCCTCGACCTCTACAACTATGCCATCCGTTAATTTTTGTAATTACTCCTTTAATTCCCCTAATATTCTTAATTAATTACCGCTAAAATTCAACTTAATCACCTTCTTTTCTTTTACCTTTTTGACACTCACATATATAATTAAAAAATTAAAAATCTTAACAAGGGTAGTTTCGGAATAACAGCATCTGAAAAAGGGTAGTTTGGGAATAATTGTGTCTGAAAATGGGAAGGGATGAGAATACTTGCTTTCTTTCTATTCGTTGTTTTTACTATTTATTAATCTATTCCCATTTTAATCCCTCAAAGAGCTATCCAAATGACCGATTTACCCTTGGTTCATTATCCTCCCAAAAAATAACTGAAAATTATATTTAAATATAATTAAATATACATGATTTTTTGATTTGTAATATTATTGTATATATCTATTGGCTGAGGATTGCTTGTCACCTACCTTTCAGTTTACTCTCTTTCTCTCTCTATCACGTTCAAAGGAAAGGGAGGAAGGAGGAGAAGATTCATACTCTGTTTTATTTTATCTTTTTTTTTTTTTTTTTTTTTTTTTTTTTTTTTTTTTTTTTTTTGTCTTNGCAATGGACAGGCACAAGTGTAGGCTCTGCTTCAGAAGCTTCTCTAATGGCAGAGCTTTGGGAGGTCATATGAGGTCCCATATGGTGAACCTTCCACTCCCACCAAAACCAGAGGACCCCCCATCGCCGCCGCTGTTGCCGCCGCCGTCGCATCTCCATCTCAGTGAAGATGCTGCCGACTCTGCTTCTTTCCTCTCCTCCCCCTCTTCATCGGAAGGTGATGCAGAGGAAAAGGGTTTGTCTTATGGGTTGAGAGAGAATCCAAAACGGAGCATTCGGATCGGAGATCCTGAATTCTCATTCGCCATCGATGCTGGCTCTGTTGTTCTGCAAGACAGAGAAAGCGAAACAGAGTCCTCGAAGAACCCAACTCGGAGAAGATCGAAGAGGACGCGTAAACCAGATCATAATCACCACCATCACCACCATTACAATGGTTTTAAGAGACTGAATCAGCCGGAGTCGTGGACGGAGACGGAACCAGTGAGCTCGATCTCCGGTAGTACGACGGAGGAAGATGTCGCGTTTTGGCTGATGATGCTTTCGAGGGATAAATGGACGAAGCATCAAAGTGGGTATGGACGACGGCGAGAGGTTGAGGATGACGACGACGACGACGACGACGACGACGACGGAGATGACGACGGAGATGACGACGACGATGAAGAAGAAGAAGAAGAAGAAGAAATGGAAGAATCCATGGAGGAAACCGATGATTCCGAGGCGGTGAAACTTACAAGAAATCGAAACAGAGGGAATTACAAATGCGAAACATGTAATAAAGTGTTTCGATCTTATCAAGCACTTGGTGGGCATCGAGCAAGCCATAAGAAAATCAAGGTTTCTGTAAATTACGAGAATCCCCAATTGACGACGGAGCAAGAAAATGCAGGTACAACAACCATGGCGGAAAGGAAAATTCACGAATGCCCTGTTTGTTTCAGAGTGTTTTCTTCCGGCCAAGCTCTCGGCGGCCATAAGAGATCTCACGTCACCGGATTCTCATCGGCGAATTCGAGAATCCCGGCGAAGAAGTTCAGTGACAGTTTGATAGATCTTAACCTCCCAGCTCCTTTCGAGGAAGACGATCTCAGCCAAATCGAGCACTCGGCGGTTTCTGATGCGGATTTCGTCAACGCCATTAGGCAATAAAAGCTCCTCCGATCAAAATTCCGAGGTAACTAAATTTAAAAAAAAAATGAAAAAAAAAAAAAAAAAAGAAGAGGAAATTTTGACCTGTTACTGGGTATTGATTGATGATGATACATCAAATCTGATGACTATTTTATATGGTTCAAAGTTTGATTAATTAGAATTGGAATTCTCATCTAACTGCAATTCCTTCTCTGAAATTCATGCTGTAATTAGTGCTTGAGCCTTCATCAATGGCGGAAAATGCTCTTTTTCTTTCTTTTCTTTTTTCATTTTCCCCTAAAATTTCTGGGTTTTTCACAAGTGAGTGAGTTCATGTTCGTGACTGAATTTTGGTTGAAGCTTCCATGACAGTCTTTAATTCTGTGTCAATTTCCCTTTTCCTTTACTTACTTTTTAAATTTTCAAAAGCTTCCACGATCTTCATGAAAAATATTTAAAAAAAAAAAAAAAAAACCATTTTTATTTTTAAAGTTTAATTATACTAATTTTTATGAATTTTAGTGAGAGAATAATATTGTTGTAATTAATTTGCATTAGTGGCATGATTGACACCTTAGAATATATCTTCTGTAATTTTCCAAGATTGCAAAATAATTAAATATTTCCTAAATACATTTTTTTTTTACTTTGTAATATTTATCTTCTTTTTGCTTCCTTGGTCAAACATTATGATCTCTTTTAGTTTTCCATTTTTTTTTATATAATTTATAATATAAGAATATTCTAAGAAAATAGTTCTTCCTTTTTATAAAACAAAAATATTCTTACTTATCGATATTTGCGTACGTTTTAATTGAGTTATTTCAAAACTAGTCATTTTTTATTTTACTCGGTAATTTAGAAGGGTTTAGGGTTTGATAGGTACGGGAAAATTACTTTTTTTTTTTTACTTTTTATTTTAATTTGTAATTGAATTGCTAGGCGTGATAGGGTAACCCTAGAGTAAGTGTAAGTGTAAGTGTAACAGTGACAGCCACTTTTAGTGTTCTTCAACCCGTCGTCTATCAACTGAATTAGTGCCACTTAATTTCTTGTGGGGTTTGTCATTTTCCACAACATGACAATAGTGTCATAGTTTTTTTGTTTTTAAACATAAATTTCAAACCTTTATATATTGTTCGTAATATTCGTTCCATCTTTTTTCTAATATAAAAGAGTTTTACAACGCTAACTAAAAGATTGATTCTCCTTCCCTGTTCTAAGCGGATAGATGAGCATGAGGCTCTCCTTCCACCAACGTCCTTCTCTTTACCTACTCTACTTTTCAAAATATACTCAAGTCTTTTGTAATGTTTCCTCGTTTCCTCCTTTTATCTCTTTTTTTTTTTTTTTTTAACCAATTGTTGAACATTGAACGTGAGGAACTTTTAGACGGGTTAATAGGTATTCGTATGATAGGAGTATACACATGTTGAGTTAGAAATTTTTTTTGGACTAACTCAAAATTTTAAGTTGATTGAGTTGGTGACTCGAATAGTACAAATGGAGTTCATAACTTACCGGGATTGACTCAACCAACCCAACCAAAAAAATGTCAGACTCACAAACGATTCAGATTATCAAATCATATGAACTGGGGAGGGAGAAAAATCGCCAAAATATTTTGAAGAAATTAAATGGCATATATATCTATCTATATATATATCTTTATGAACTTTTTCGGCCACTTAATATTTAATAATGATGGGGTTAATAGTAATTTTGCTAATGTATACTAATATTTCACGTGTAAATATAGTAAATCATTATTATTTTTTGTTTTCTAATAAATCATTTCCTATATGGTTCAATGATTTTTTTTTTATCTTTTTCAAAAGAAAAAAAAAATGATAATTATTTATTAAACATTTAAATTTTTTTACTGATTCTGAAAAAAAGAAAAGAAAAATCCCATAAATTTTCTCTCTTTGGCAACAATAAATCTAATTCAAGAAAACCCATAATAATATTAAAATTCTTTTTCTTTTTTTTAAGTTTAAATTCTATTAAAAAAAATTTGAAAACAATAAATTTTCTATTTTCTATTTTCATATTTTAAAAATAGAAATTGAAAAAAAAATGAAAATCAAATTCCAACCCGGAATAAAAAAAACATATTTATTTAGAAGAAAAAAAAAATACAAATTTGTTTCTTATTTTTGTATTTTCTTAAAAAACAAGAGCGACGGTGTCACGCGTCAAATATATTTTTATAGAAAAAAGAAAATAAATTAAAATGCTTTCAAATTAAGCTTTTATTCCTTCTTTAATACATTCAGGTATATATCATTATAATTAACATGACATTTATTTCATGAATTTCATTTAAAGTATAATGATTGTGAACTATTGAAAATAAAAACAGAATTCTAATATTATAATTAAATATATATTTTTCATGTCCATCTTTTAAAAAAAATAATAAATTATTAGAATAACTACGAATTTAATAGACGAAAATTTTGGATTGGTTAAATTGGTGACCTGAAGAATCCGAATAGAGTTCATAATCGAATGAATTGAGTTGTCAAGTGGTTCTTTTTTTTTTTTAATTATTTAAAAAAATCATACTTATCGACAATATAGGTTACATAAATAACTAATAGCAACGTATGATTAACATTTGTTACAAACGTCAAATATTCTTAATTTTCCTAATAATTTTAAAAGTAAGATAGGAAAGAATTGGATCATAACCCTATTTTTGTATTGGTTGAGTTGACGTGACCAAAATAATGTCATTTTTTGAAAATTCAACTCAAGGTAACCCAAAAAAAGAAAAATGTAACTCAACCTAACTTTTATATAATCTAAATTGATTGGATTGTCGAGTCATTTGAACACTTCTAGAGGTTTGACCAGTAAAATTTATTCTTCTCTATCGATAATTAATTGGAAGTTGATAAATATAGAATTTATTAATGTGTTTAAAGTAAAATTTACCAATTAAAAGATATTTACTGACAAGGGGCAAAATGGGGAATTATAATAATAAAAAAAAAGAGTTTAAGAAAGCAAAAAAGAGGTAATTTGTTTGTTAAATATATTAATTAATATTGCATCTATTTTCCAGTTTCATCATGTTTGTTGTTGTGGGTTCTCTCTCACTGCCCTTTTTTTAGTCAAAATTATTATTCCAATAATATTCTCTTTTATTTTATTTTATGCCAAATTATAAATATTCCCTCTCATGCCCTCATCATAATTACTCAACCATTACACAGGTAGACCCGAAAAAATAGAAGGGAATCATTACATTAAAAGGAATGAGGGTGTTGCAAAAAGTGAACAAATTAGAGGGGCGTTTTTGTCAATTCACTTACTTTATGAGATATAATTTGAGTTTTCGGTTTTTACAATTAACCCACTATTCGTCAAATCTTTAATAAAGTGACGGGTTTAGTCTCGAAGTTTGAATGTTTTTTTAATTGCTGGTCAGTAAACGTCGAGGCTAAGTTATTTACGAATGAAAATTAGAGAAGATGGAGTGGATTTTGTGTAATTGCATGGATGGTGAATATTTTGGAAAAGAGAAGAAAATAATAGAAAAAAAGGAAGGGAGAAAATGGGGAATATGTAACGTAAACCAAAAGGCATTGACCTGAAGAGACCAATGAAATTTTGATGTTGACTTTACAAATTGGTTTGCGTTTCAATGAGTAGCAATGTAAATAAATTAACATTATAATAATATTTTAATGAGATTAAAATTAAATAATAGTTGACTTTAGATAAATTAATTTTACAAAAAGGCATTAAGCCTTCTTTGACTTTTTTTTTAATTATAAAAAATAAATGATTTTTTTGTAGTTTTGGGTAAAGTGGCTAAAGTTTGTGACTTGTGGGCAAACTGCTTTTTTTTTTTTTTTTAATTAATTTTATTTTATTTATAAAAAATAAAAATAAAAAACTCAACTGACATAAAAATAATAGTACATAACTACTTGAAGGTAAACTTTAAAAAATTGTGACCAAATCATAAAATATTATTATAAAGAAAAGTATTAGTTATATTAATAAAAATACAACTATGGTTTGTAATTTGTATAAAAAAAAAATACTTCTGAATTTTAAAAAATATTAGTGTTAGTTTTGGATGAATGTTTCAAACTTTTAAAAGTGTTTAAAATTTTTTTATTAATATCTTTGAATTTTACAGAAATACAAATTAAATTTTAAAAGTAGTATTAATGTCTTTTATTTTTATAAAAAAATTCTCTATTAATATATGGACGGACAACTCAGTTTTTATGTTATTTTTAAAAGTTTTTTAGTATTTTTAAAATTGATATTAACTCAACGGTAAAGGTATTTTTGAACTTTTTAGAAAAAGTTCAAAGTGTTCATTTATAACTCAAGGGCATTTTAGAAACAAAGTTGTGTATGCTCGAGACTCCCACTGTACGTTGAGTTACCCCTAAATTATATCAAACTATTTCAACATTCACGAACGAAGTCCATTCAATCTGATTAATGTTGATTATTGAAAGTCGAGGAAGAGTGTGTGGAATTACAAGGATAGGCAATATGAAATGGATGATAATAATAAGTGCGATCAAATCCTTAGAAAAGATAAGTATTCTAAGCTTTTGATGGATAGTGGGTTTGATAATAGGCATCAAATTCTTAGCCCATGCGCACCACAAACACTATCACTTGTGTTTTGGTTGCAGTGGCGATTCCAAACTAGGGCTTCTCCTTCCTCACTCTTCACTGCTTGCATTGCATGTGATATCAAATATGCCCACCTTTCCCTTTTACTTTTGGTTCCCTTTGACTCAACCATGAACTAGACAGCCACCAATTTCCTAATCCACTTCGATAAAGACTTAACGACTTGAATATCGACCAACTTTTGGTTCCCTTTTGATGATAGACAACCATAAATTTGCTAAACCACTTCCAGAAAGACTTGAATATCGTGCAAGAATGTTGAAATTGATATGATGAAAGTGATTTTGTGATATTGTTATGATATTGTTTACTTTGAGCATAAACTCTCGTGATATCTCGTTCCAATGAAAATAGGGTTGCTTACTTATATGCTGATGATATTTGTAAGAGCTCAAACTCACCAATAGCAGATATTGTCATTTTTTTTAGCTTTGTTCAAGGTTTTAAAACGTGCCCACTAGGAAGAGAGATGTTTCTTTCTCCTCTCCAATTGATGTGGGATTTCACAATCTACCCCTTTTGGG